CCGCGCCCCCTGAGCCCCGCACCGCGCCGCCCGCGGTTCCCCACGCGCCCCGGCCTCGCGCTCGGACCCCGCCCCAGCCCGCCCCCTCACTCCCATTGGCTCCCTCTCCCTTCACTCACACGCTGCAGCCGGGCCCTCTTCAGCTCATTGGTGGATAGGCGGGTGACGTCACGCCAGGGGGCGCTAGTCGTCGGCTAAGGAGGCGCAGGGCCGGACGGACTCTGTTGGAGAGGAGGAAGCGTGTGGCGGGGCGCGGGCCTGCGGCGGGGCCGGCGGGGCCGGCGGGGCTGGCGGGGCGGGAAGGGAGTACGGGCGCGGCTCGGAGTCGGGCTGTGGGAGCTGCCCGCCTGCTCCCCTGGTCCGGGGCGCTGGAGTCTTATTTCTGGCTTGTCCCCCGCGCTCCGCGGAGCCCCAGCAGAACAACCCAACTCCAGACTTCTTCCTGCGTCGTGGAGTTGTTGGAAATGTGCGAGACTCCACTTTCTGCCTTCCGCACGGCTACGGAGACGGCGTTCTTCCTGCGCAGGCCCTGCTCCGCCACGCGCCCTCCTGCGGCGCCTCACCCGGGCCGGAAACACCCCACATGCGCCCTTCCCGCTTGGTCCTGTGTCCCATCCTCGGCGCAGTGCCACGCCAAACCGCACCCCATTCTCAGGGATTGCCTCGCCAGCTTGAAGAAAAGAGGCCGGGGGTGGTGGCACGCCTGTAATCTGCGCACGCTGGAGGCTGAGGCAGGGGGATGGCAGCAAAAAATTCACCGTCAAACCTACATATCACCTCTCAGCACTGGCACTTTCCTCTTGGCCTTTCTAACAGCCTCACAGATCGCAGTTCTCTGGCCTGGGGTCCGTATGCTCAGCATTTAATGAGTCCCATGGCTCCTGTCCTCCCCGACAAGTGCCCTTAAAACTGCCACCCTGCCCCTCCCATCCTCCCTGTCGCTGACGTTGAAAGCGCTGCCAGACCTCACTTTTGCAGTCTCTGTTTCTTGCACAATTAGCACCCTCGTCACTAAACCCAAGGACACGTTGCTTCCTCGTGTTACCCATCTCTGCACAGTTCCTCCTGCCTGCTGAAAACATGTGCTTCCTGTGGCTGAATGGCATTCAGTCCCCTTTCCTGTTCTCCCAGTCTCCTTCCCTTGCTTGTCTGCCCTATATGACCTCTAAGTAAGAGTTGTAAAGGTCTCAGGGTTTCCTCTTACTCCACAAAATTTCCGTGCCTGATTTAGTCGCTGCCAACATTTCAATCAATAGACCCCAAATTTACAACTCTGGTCCTTGCATTCCCTGAGCTCAAAACCTATTTATCTAGTTTCCTATTCAGCTTCTTCACCTGAATATGTCACAGGGTGCCCCAAACAGAACTCATCCAAAGGCAGTGCATGCGAACACCTCTCCTGTCTCCTCTCCCATGACACCCAGGGTACTCCCATCTGCTGTTTCCGAATACTGCCTTCACCCATGCATCCACAGACCTCCCTAAGTCTCTTTCCAGTTTGTCCATTTTCTTCAGGTTCAACTGTTACACGGACAAATTGAGTATCCCTAATCTGAAAACCAAAATCTGAAATACTCCAAAATCCAAAATGTTTTGAGTGATCGGTTTTGGATTTTGGAGACTTTAGGACTTCGTATTTTTCAGATGAGGGATGCTCAACCATTAGTCTATGAAATATTCCCAGATCCAACAAGCTTTGAAACTGGAGACACTTCTAGTACCAATTATTTCAATGTTCCTGTGCCTTCATCTTCATGTCAAATTGCAAAAGGCCATGGTGACAATATTTAAACTGTGGACATAGGCAAACATTACAAATCCAGGTTTGAGTTGTTATTTTGCTAATTATCTGTATCCTTAAGAAAGTTTAACAATGTAGACTAGATTTTAAAATATAATTGTCCTTTGGATAAAAGGTCAGCACTCAAAAATCAACAGCCTTCCTGTACATGAACAACACACTCATTGAGAGAGGAACTGGAGAAACAACTCCTTTCACAATAGTGTCCAAAAAAATGAAATATCTAGGAATCAATCCAATGAAAGAAGTAAAAGATTTCTACTTTGAAAACTACAGCACTCTGAAAAAAGAGATCTAAGAAGATATTAGAAAATGGGTCGACATTCCTTGTTCCTGGGTAGGAAGAACCAATACAGTAAAAATGGCCATACTTCCAAAACTGCTATATAGATTCAATGTAATCCCAGTTGAAATCCCAACAGTGTATTTCACAGAACACAATAGAGAAAACAATCCAAAAATTCATTTGGAACAAGAAGAGACCCAGAAGAGCAAAAGCAAGTCTAGGCAACAAAGACAAGTCAGGGAGTATCATAATTCCCAACTTGAAACTATACTGCAAAGCCACTGGGATAAAAACAGCATGGTACTGGCAAAGAAACAGACCCAAGGATCAATGGAACAGATTAGAAGATGCAGAAACAACTCCAGACATACTCAGCCACCTCATCTTTGACAAAGGAGCCAAACACCCTCACTGGAGGAAAGATAGCTTCTTTAATAAATGGTGCTGGAAAAACTGGGCTTCAACTTGCCAAAGATTAAAATCAGACCTATATCTCTCATCGTGCACTAAATTGAAGTCAAAATGGATCAAAGATGTAAATATTAAAACAGAAACACTTGGGCCGGGGATTTAGCTCAGTGGTTCCGCTGCCTGCCTTGCAAGCATAAAGTCCCAAGTTTGATTCTCGGTACCAGAAACAAAAAAACCAACCCCCCACCCCCAAATAAACAGAAACACTAAACCTGCTGGAAGAGAGGTTAGGGAGAATTCTTGAAGACATTGGTGCGGGAAAAGACTTAAGGAACAAAACCTCAGTTGCACATGAACTAGCACAAAGAATCAACAAGTGGGATCTCATCTTATTAAAAAGCTTCTGCACAGAAGGAGAAACCACCAACAGAGTGAAGACACAATGTGGGAAAAAAATTTTCACCTGCCATTCCTCAGACAAAGGTCTACTATCTAGAATCTGTAAAGAACTTAAAAAAATCAGACCCAATCCAAAAATGGGCTTCTGAAATGAACAGACATTTCTCAGACAAAGAAGTAGAAGCAGCAAAAAACATGAAAAAATGTTCAACATCACTGGTCATTTGAGAGATGCAAATGAAAACAATGCTGAGATTCCACCTCACCCCAGAAAGAATGGTTGCTATCAAGAAATCAACCAACAACAAATGTTGGCAGGGTTTTGGGGAAAAAGGAACCCTTCTCCACTGTGGGTGGAAGTGTAGACTGGTACAGCCACTGTGGAAATCAATGTGGAGATTCCTCAAAGAACTGGGATTGGAGGTCCCATTTGACCCAGCTATTCCCCTGCTGGATATTTTCCCAAATGAATTAAAAGCATCCTACCACAGTGATATATGCATACCCATGTATATAGTGGCCCAGTTTGTAATTGCTAAATCTTGAAAACAGCCCAAATACTCATCAACTGGTGATTGGATAAGGATGTGGTTTTTAAAAAATATAAAATGGAGTACTACTTAGCCATAAAGAATGATAAATTACAGACAGTTATAGCTATATGGATGCACATTTAGGCCATACTCCTAAGTGAAATAATTAGGACACACATGTGTAAATACAGAATAGTTTCTCTGGTGTGAGAAACTTCTAGAGTAAATAAGGACCAAAATGTATAATAGATAATGTAAAATAGGAAGAAAAGGTCCAAAAATGAAGGGAAAGTAGGGAGAGGGGGTGGGGGAAAGGAAAGTAGGGAAGGAAAAAATATGAGAAAAGAAGGAAAATGGAAACAAAAGTTTTTGTAAATAGGAAGGGGTGGAGGGGAAGGAAGGGGAATGGGGAAAAAATAACCAAGATACATCATGTACAGGTACAAATTCCCAACAATGAATGTGATCATAATGTATACCTAAAATGTACCAATAAACTTAAAAAAAAACTATGCTTGGTGCTGAAAGTAAGAGTTCAGTTTAATTTGAGCAAAGGTGAGAAATAATTTAAGAAGTCACATGTATTGGCTTTAACGATGATAAGTTTACTGGAAAACAGTGGACTAGGATTCAGTTCCATTTGTTAAATCATAGCTGAGTTGCAAGCATTGATTGGACTCAGATACAAGTCTTTGACAAAAATCAACGGAAGTATTCTATGAGAATCAGAAATATGAAATATACAGTAAAGTATTTTTATTATCATTTGTAAACTGTTG